CCAAGAAAAAAAATCGTAGCTTATTTCCTCATTGGGGAAGGAAAAAATCTGGTTGGCCCCTACTTGATTCGATGAATCCGACGACATGCAGCATGCACAAGGTATAAGGAGGTAAGGCAACGAAACAATTTTTTTTCAAAAGCAAGGAGGTAGGTGTGGGTCTAGCTGATTTGTTTACAGGACGCCACAAGCAAATAATGTTCCGCCTTAATAATATGTGAGGCAGCGTGGTGGAATCAGGCTCTCGTCAATTTTTGGGCATATTGAGTTATTGGTATCATCTTAAAGCTTGTTCATTTGTTTTGCTTTCATTGAAAAAATTACCCATTCATTTTCAATAGAAGTGGAGATATTTTGGATTGAAGGAGGTGGGGGTCACCAGGTTTAAGAAGTAAAATTAGCGAGAAAATGGCCGCCAAAGCTTGGTAAATTCCAAAGCTGGAGTGTCCATCGATTTTGTAAATTTATATTTTTGTGCCTTTAATCAACGTTTTTCGGTGAAATCCCCCAAGGAATGTGTTTATAAATGGACATAAAAGGTGTTGAGCCAAAAAACAAAAATTTGATAAGAGAAAACTGCTGTTTTCTTCGATTTTATTATTTTGACGAGAGCCTGATTCCACGACGCTGCCTCACTTATGCGCTTTGTGTCACCCATAGATAGGCGACGATATGTGGTGGGCGTGCGTGAATATTGGTTCAAAATGTATCGCCTCACATCAAAAAAGAATAAAACATGTAAGGAGAGGCTGTCTGAACCTTTTAATGAGATTCTTGTTGACGAGAAGTGGGAGAAAAAAATGAATAGGAAAGGCTGCCGCACACACACACACGACTCCCACACACTTCTTGAGGAGAGACCACGCACATGTTTGTGAAAGAAATCTCAGCGCTAGCAAAGTCCTATGATGAAGATGTTGGGTGGTTGGGGGGGGGGTTCTTTCTTTCTTTCCACAACAGAACAGTGGCTCCCAAAGGGATTTTAAAAATGAACATCGATTTAACTTTGACAATGTCAATGATAATTACATATTTTAATTTCATACATCTCGAAGGGAAAAAATTAGTCTTGTTTGTTTACAAGGACAGCAGTTTTTTTAAAGCCTCTTAAACAAACCAGTTCCATAAAAAGAAGTAATATTATTATTGGTATCTGAGAGAATAAACACGATCCAGAGGGCGTAAATGGTTTTCATCTGTCAAAGATATCACTAAAAGTTTATAGAAGACACATAGCAAACCAACAAGTCTAAAGGACTTGTCAACAACAGAAGATCTGGAATTGTTGCCCAAATTACAATGTAATTGTAAAGTTAAATATTGTTTTTTTCATTGTTTGTCCTGCAAACCAGTTTCGTATTAATTTTTAGACTATGTTTTATTTCTTTGTTGGTTTTGTGCACATGGTCACACAGAAAATATGTTATTCACACCTCCCCTCTGCCTCCCCCCCCC